GGTAGGACATTTAGTTCAGAGACTAAACCACTGGATTCACAGGTAGAACATTTAGTTCAGAGACTAGACCACTGGATTCACAGGTAGGACATTTAGTTCAGAGACTAGACCACTTGATTCACAGATAGGACATTTAGTTCAGAGACTAGACCACTGGATCCACATGTAGAACATTTAGTTCAGATACTAGACCACTGGATTCACAGGTAGGACATTTAGTTCAGAGACTAGACCACTTGATTCACAGATAGGACATTTAGTTCAGAGACTAGACCACTTGATTCACAGATAGGACATTTAGTTCAGAGACTAGACCACTGGATCCACATGTAGAACATTTAGTTCAGATACTAGACCACTGGATTCACAGGTAGGACATTTAGTTCAGAAACTAGACCACTGGATTCACAGGTAGAACATTTAGTTCAGAAACTAGACCACTGGATTCACAGGTAGAACATTTAGTTCAGAGACTAGACCACTGGATTCACAGGTAGGACATTTAGTTCAGAGACTAGACCACTGGATTCACAGGTAGGACATTTAGTTCAGAGACTAGACCACTGGATTCACAGGTAGGACATTTAGTTCAGAGACTAGACCACTGGATCCTCATGTAGGCCATTTAGTTCAGATACTAAACCACTAGATCCACATGTAGGCCATTTAGTTCAGAGACTAAACCACTAGATCCACATGTAGGCCATTTAGTTCAGATACTAAACCACTGGATTCACAGGTAGGACATTTAGTTCAGAGACTAGACCACTGGATTCACAGGTAGGACATTTAGTTCAGAGACTAGACCACTGGATCCTCATGTAGGCCATTTAGTTCAGAGACTAGACCACTGGATTCACAGGTAGGACATTTAGTTCAGAGACTAGACCACTGGATCCACAGGTAGGACATTTAGCTCAGAGACTGGACCACTGGATCTGCAGATAGGACATTTAGTTCAGAGACTAGACCACTGGATCCACATGTAGAACAGTTAGTTCAGAGACTAGACCACTGGATTCACAGGTAGGACATTTAGTTCAGAGACTAGACCACTGGATTCACAGTAGGACATTTAGTTCAGAGACTAGACCACTGGATTCACAGGTAGGACATTTAGTTCAGAGACTAGACCACTGGATCCACAGGTAGGACATTTAGCTCAGAGACTAGACCACTGGATCTGCAGATAGGACATTTAGTTCAGAGACTAGACCACTGGATCCACATGTAGAACATTTAGTTCAGAGACTAGACCACTGGATTCACAGGTAGGACATTTAGTTCAGAGACTAAACCACTGGATCAACAGGTAGGACATTTAGCTCAGAGACTGGACCACTGGATCTGCAGATAGGACATTTAGTTCAGAGACTAGACCACTGGATCCACATGTAGAACATTTAGTTCAGAGACTAGACCACTGGATTCACAGGTAGGACATTTAGTTCAGAGACTAAACCACTGGATCAACAATTAGAACACTTAGTTCAGAGACTAGACCACTGGATCCACTGGTAGGACATTTAGTTCAGAAACTGGATCACTGGATTTGTGGGTAAGGCATATGATCCAGGAGATAATGAACTTAGAAGAGGATTGCGGAATAATAGTTATTGGTATGTACTTACAGAATATGACTCTCAGTGAACTGGCCTTTTAGCAGTTGATGTCGGAAAGACGCAATAGCTTTACATGACTCACGAACATTTTTCTGTAAAATAATATATTACAAAAATCACTCATTTGGGCCAATGAAAAACCTACCATTTAGTAGTAGTGTAACTTGACCTCTGATGAGCTATGTGTCTATTTACACCAAACTAATTACTTACCCCACATGCAGTTTCTAATGCTGCCGAGTTGTCATCTGGACTCCTCTTCTGTTTACTAAAGTACAAAGTGCTACAATGTGAATTGCTATTCACAAAAACAAAAAATAACTTTTAGTAAAATGAATCACATGGATTAGAGTGAGTTTACAACTGTAGTTTTTGACTATGAGATGTGATTAAATACTTATACAGTGAAGAATACATTTTTTTTTAATTCACACAGATACAAAACATGTATTGTATGCTTTATCATTTGGTCATGATTAATTCGATACATACAAGTGTAAGATTTGACATATGGACATATGCATGACGATAGGTCACATGAGTGGTATAAATAAAATTACTTTATTGTCAGACCTTATATGGGGGGGGGGGTGAGGAATATCAAGTAGCCCAAGACCCCCATACCCTGTGAAAAATATGACCACTAAGATACCACTACTGTGAATCTCTTCCCTGATCAAATATAATACCTTTTGTTGTTTGGTGTACTTGTTAAATAAATGTAAAACTAAACTCAGTTTAAGCATCAAATTCTAAAGAGAAATGAAAAGTCTTTGTTGGTGATCCTGTCAGCTCTTGGCG